AAACTCCTTAGGTGAGATACAGCAGCCATTATACGGGGGTCCCTTGATCCCTGTTGGATTTTTTTATTTTTATTTTATATTGTAGAAAAATGCAACAGAAGGAACTGGTATAAGCAAAGGCAGTTAATGTGAGCGTTGATTCTCCCCTTCAACAGAGATCAAGCGACTAGGCATTTGGTAATATGACTGGCTCCAACAGCACTGTTGTCTGCAGGCATGGAAGGGATTTAAGGACTTTTGTTTGCTATTATGACCTTCCAGGGTGGGCAGGGTAGCTAAGGGTGCCTTGTAAAAATTAGCTCACTACCAGCTCTTTTAATTTTATGTGCACGAATATGTTCATGGAGCAAGGTTGAGTTTTACACTCCTGTGATACAGCTATGTAGATCTGTAATCTTATGAGATATATATATATATATGGCACTGCAATGGTAAATGTAGATTAACCATGACCTGACATTTGAGTGGAGTGCCTTCTCTACCTTTTCTCCACCAAATCACCTGCCAGCGTGAGGCCATTGCAGGAATGGATTTCACTGGCATGTAAATTGATCCTTGTGTTATTAGCCAATAGAGGGCTCTGGGGATTTAGCTTTCTTCCTGTTCAGAGGATGCACAGAGAGAGAAAAGAGTCTTTGTGTTTGTAGGAATGCTGGGCTGTGATGTGAACAACAAACTCTCCCAGGATGTAGGGCAGTAAAGAGGCTGCATAGTTTAATCAGCAGTAGGGAGTGACAGAAACCGGCTGGATTTCTATTGGAAATGTGTGCCTACTTGTTTCCAATAATTGACTTGGCAAGTCTGACCCAGCGCTAATGCAATGGGTTCATCACTCCCATTAGACACAGTAGGCAAGGGCCTGTAGGTGGCAGTTAAAGAGACGACTTTCCTGTACAGTTATCAATCAGACATTATTTATTCTTTTTTCAGTAGAAACACGACTATTTCATTTATGTGGTCACAATATTTTAAGCTGTATTGTAAGTACAATAACATTCTGCTAAACAGGTGTTCCTAGCTGAAGGGGTCTTTTTACATTCCTACTGGTTCCAGCAATGGAAATCTGGTCCTGTAGATGTGAATGAGGCCTAATAGATATGTGGATGGGGGTTGTAAAGGGGTCATAGATATGTGGGGGGGGGGATAGTAGTTGTGTACAGCTATTTCATGCTTTTTCTTGTAATTAGACAAGTGGATTATAATGGGGAATATTACACTGTAATGTTCCCTATTATCTATTTCTCTGATTAAATGAAAAAAAAACTGGGCTAAACGCCCAGTTTTCTTAGACCGAGCGCAGAAGTCCCTGTAGATAAGTCTTCTCAAACAAGTGCCTATTGTTGCTGGAGAGTTAAGTACATGTGATCGTGGTCCGACATGAAGGAATGTGCACACAATGCAATGAACATGTTTTGTGTTTTGGGTGTCTGTGTTGCTTGGTGATCACAGTCATCTGCTCTGTGACTTGGCTCATGAGATCTTTGCACATGGCGATCACTCTGTACTTTAGCAAGTAAGAACCTGATCACCAAGATGACTGACAGGCCGTATGCGTCAGTGCCTTTCCCTCTAGAGATTCTTAATTATAAGAAAAAATACTGTGGAGTGCTGGAAGGCAGGGAAGGACAGCCATCACCATCACTCTGATTTTATATCTGTGCTGTAGCTTCACTTCTGCAGATTATTTGGTGAATAAATAAATATGTTATGCCGTATATATGTTATTCTTTAGGTTTGGTTGTTAATTCCACAGTTTGATATTGTGATTGATTAAAGGTGAACTGTATCCAAATAATTCCAACTATATTATTGTATACTATATATTGTATCCAAATTAAGCTTTATTTCTGCATGCTTACTGGCGAGTTAAGCCACTTGCTGCCGCCTTGTGGAGTTGAGTGTATTTCTTCCCCCTAATTTCAAAAGATTGTGATTATCCATAATGTAGAATGAACAAATCCATTTGGGAATCCACCTTCATTTTTATGGAAGGGAGGGGTGAAGGGACACTTGAAATGCACATAGCAAGCATGTTATAAGTCACAAATATTATTTAGGATTAATAGTGTCAACAGCTGTTACATCACTTTTCAATATAAAGTGAGGCAGTACCCTTACAGTACATTTGAAGACAAGAGGGTTAGGAGGTACCTGCTCATGAGAGCTTACAATCTAAACGGGAGGTTCAGGTGATGAAACGGGTAATAACTGAGGATGAGTTGAGAAAGTAAATTTCAGTTGTCAGGTAAAGGTGAGATAGGCTTTTCTGAAGAGATTGTTGCCTTTAGGCGATCCCTAGAAAAACAGAGTAGGAGATAGCCAGACAGATTGGGGTAGGGAGTTGCAGAGGATGGGAGAGGCTCTAGAGAAATCCTGGAGAGGAGCATGAAGGTGACAAGGCAGCTAGATAGCAGGAGGTCTTAGGAGGAGTAAAGAGGACGGTTTGGGTGATGTCTAGAGACAAGTTTGGTGGTGTAGCTTGGGGTAGAGTTGTGAATGGCATTGTATGATGATGGTAACTGAGCTGTTGGTGAGGTGGATGAATCTGGAAGCAGCATTCATGATAGGCTGAAGGGGATATAGCCTGTGTACAGATAGGTCAATGAGGAGGGACTTGCAATAGTCAAGACAAGAGATAACAAGGGAGTGAATTAGTAGATTGGTGGGGTCAGAGGTTAAGGAGGGGGATATCCTGGAAATGTTAGAGGTGAAGGCAGCAAGATTTGGACATTTATTGTGTGTGTGCTTATATATTCCTTGCATTGATCCTGCATATTCCAGTTCCTCCTGTACAATATTGCCACAGCATGCAGGTGCTTCTTGTATGTTTGTTTTCTGTATCTTACAGTTCAAACATATGCTAGTTACACTTGCAGTTTGCCATCCCTGCACAGACTTCCCTCCAAACGCATACTGAAGCTGCCCATACCCACGGGTTGAACAAAAAAAAGCAGATTCCGCCATCAATGCTACGAGTGCGTTAATCTTGGACTCCCCGGTGTTTTGTTTGTATTCGGACAGCAGCTATCAGAATACTCGAATAGAGTCAGCAGCTCATTGGCAGCAGATTCTGTTTGTAGGAAGATTTTCCAACCGGCTCCTTTTGATAAGCTGATCGAGGGATGTCAGCCTAAAGGGTGCTGACAGCGTCACCCACTGTGTGAATTTAGGCCGGTTTATCTAGAACGCAGCATCAACATCCTGGATGGCACATAAAATGTATGTACCATGTCTTGCCACTTTTTAAAAGGGCTGTACTAGGCTAAAATGACCGGTAAATTAATATGTAGAATCACTACTTTGCAGCTCTCTGTCCTCCGTTCTCTCTTTATCCCTCTTTTTTACTTTAATTTTATTTATTTCCTGCCCCCATTCATCTGCTTCTCTCTCTTACCTTGCTACTGCTTGCAAGGCTTCACTGATTTGGTCCTGGTCATGTCAATAGCACATGTGCTCGATCTTTTGCCATCGTGTTCTGAGTGAAGGAGTATTATACACTCTGGACCTAATAACTCCACAGTGCTGTTCCACTTTGTGGAGCACATTTTTGATGTATGCTTATTACAGATAACCGCAAGCTGTTAAAGCGGATCTTTAGCTATATGTTGAAAATAACACACACACCTTTAGAAATGTTTAGTAATGACAATCTACAAACACATACCTCTAGATCAGCGTTTTTCAACCACTGTGCCGCGGCACACTAGTGTGCCGTGAGATATTGTCTGGTGTGCCGCGGCTTTGGCTCACAAATAGACCAATCATACCGGTGCGAGAGCAGGGGACGCGGGTCGGCAATGGAGCCGCGACGAGAGCTGGGAGCGTGGAGCAGCCGCGATGACATAGCTGGGGCCGTGGAGCGGCGGTGACCGGGTATAGAGCGGTGATGCAGCCGCGTGACAGAGCAGGGGGGCGTGGAGTAGTGACGGCGTGGAGAAAAGATGAAGCCGTGACAGAGCCGGAGGGGTGGAGCGATGAAAGGTTCTGTCACGTCTCCAGCTCGGGGGGAGGAGCCGGTGACGTGACAGGAGCTCTGAGCCGTTACAGAGCCGGAGCATTGATAGAGGCAATTCTGCCAGCATCCCTCAGAGGACCCCCCTTTCTGCAGGTCTTGTCACGCTCCTAGCAACTGGGAAGGTGAGGGGGTTCTTTTCCATGACACACCAGCAGTGTGCACTTGACTAGTGTAAAGAAAAAGAAAAAAAGTGGGGCTTTAATAATGCCAAAAGACAATTCTGAATAAAAATGTCTTTTTATTTGAGATATGTATACACTTTACACTTTCAACCCAGGGGTGTGGTGCTTAAATACTCAGGCCTTGGCCAGCACTTAAATGTATGAAGAGTGTGCACTAAAGTTTAATTTTTTTAACATTTTCTAATGGTGGTGTGCCTCGTGATTTTTTTCATGAAAAAAGTGTGCCTTTGCACAAAAAAGGTTGAAAAACACTGCTCTAGATAACTGCAGGCTTTCTATTCTTTGCATACCTTATTTCTCTTTTCTTCCCCAGTCTATTGGCAGTGGCCATGTTTACTAAGGGCTGAATACTAGCTCTCCTATTCCTTAAAATCTGGAACATGTAACTAGGACATGTGACCATGCACATCATCTCAGGGGAGGAAAGCGACTTTCCCTGAGATCTCGTGAGATTACAGATGAGATTTCCCAGCAATGCTCTGCTGATGACAAGGCAGTCCCAGTGTGCATTGCTTTGCCAAACTGAAGTCATTTTGCCATTTTCAAAGCAGGAGGTGAATGCTCTGCAAGTGTAACTATTTCAAAATCACAGCATTTTACACATGACAGGTCTGTTATTATTAATCATCATACATAGAGGGACGCATTGGTAGAATTCAGTTTTTGAGTGTAAAGGTCTGCTTTAAGGTGTTTGTTTTATACTTTTTGATGTGGTTGGTTGACGTTATTGCACTGCTGCTTTTCCATACCTCGGCCATAGTACATCATTTGAAATGTCATCATAATGTCTCTTGTCCTTGCAGATACAACATCTTCTCAACTTTGAACCGGCCACCTCCAAGCACTGAGCCAGTGAAAAAGAAGGTGGGTGAGATTGCTATAGATTCCACAACAAATGAATGAATTCCATCATGTGAAGCATTTCCGACTGTCATTGTGGGCCTCATATATGCACACAAGTGCTTACAAGAAGAAATGTCCATCTTTTTATAACCAGTTAGCTCTTCTCTTAAGTAAGAAAACAAAAGGCTGACTTGTTGGTAGGGGCAAATAGGGCCGTTGTAGAGATGCTTCATACATGAAGGCCAATATTGTAAGGCAGCTTATTTTACAGTTGTTTCGAAAGCTATTTCTGTAATATATGTGGAAATGGAGATCTAAAGGTGATGCAGAATTTACCACCTACACTCTCTTCCATGTTCCTGGTCCCCAGATACACAACAGGTAAGCCTCACTGCAGTCTGCCAATCCCCTGAGTGCTGCAGGGGAACAGTAGATCGATACTCGAATTGTTTGGTTTCTATGATTCAGCCGGTGATTTCTCTTCAGTGGCAGGAGTGGTAAGTATTAACGTCTTTGTAGGTAGCAGGTTTATGGGCACTTTCAGTAAGGTGATAGGGTCACTTTAAATGCTCTTGGTGGTCCAGCACAGATCAATTCGAATGAACACTGGAAAGGCTTGAAAACCAGGGGGGCTATGGTAGCTAAACATTTACTATGGACTGATTTTCATTTGTATTCTGTTATATTCTTCTTTTGCAGTTTGAAATCTACCACTCAGGAAGAAGCGTAAAACAGATTGCAAGTTTTTTTGAGGGCCATCAGAAAAAAACTAACCAAAATATCCCATCTGATGTGCAGCTGCAGAGAGAAGCTTTCCAAGGTGAGGAAGGGGGTATTTTAAGATTTTACAGTAAGGCCTTATTCACAAGGCTAACAGCCGGCCCGTACAGATCCGTGCTGCATGCACGGCCGTATCAGGCTGCTCCTGGGAAGGACAGGTGCTGCGTGTGATTGTACGCAGCAGCCCGTTCTTCTCTATGGGAGTACGCCGCCGTACGCTCACCCGAACTGCACGTCAGTACGGAGACAGGATGGCTCCTGTTTGCGTCCGAGCACGGAGACCCGCACCGACATGCAGTTCGGGTGAGCGCACGGCCACGTATTCCCACAGAGAAGAATAGGCTGCTGCGTACAATCACACGCAGCACCTATCCTTCCTGGGAGCGGCCCTGCACGGATCTGTACGGGCCGGCTGTTAGTCGTGTGACTGAGGCCTAATGAAGATAGTTATATTCAAAAAGATGACATTGAATTAGCTGATTTGTTAATTTGCAGTGAACCATAGAAACCAATCAGCTTTTTTTCTGCTTAGAGCATGCTAAAAAATTGAAACCAGGGATACTGCTGCCAAAGAGTGTATCTAAGCAACTTTCAAACAACATTGTTTTTTGGACTCCTGCCCCCTGTGAGAAAATTACAAAACTGGCATAATAGATAACTTTAAAGTATCACAAAATACATTGATATTGTACGCTGTGCATCAGAACAATATAGCAGGTTGTTGTATAGGAGATATATATGATTGTCTTGGCTAGCTCAGGTTCCTCCTCTTTGTTGCATACAAGTAATGTTTCCAAATATTCTATTAACATTTTTTATTATTGCAGATAAAGTAAAAGCAATGGTTCTCAACATGTCACTAAAACACAATGCTCGTTAAAAAAACAAAAACCATAGTGTAAACATAGTTGGAAACAGTATAAATCTGCTGAACAGTTTAATTCTGAACACAGCTATACACAACAATACAACTATATAAAATCTTCTCACCTGGCCCAGTGCTGCTCTACAAGCGTATTTTTTGCTATGGCAAATTAGCCTATTGTGCGATCTTGTACTTGGAAGGGTTAATGAGTGTGCAGTGCTCACATATGGGGCCAGCTGAAATTTCTCATCAGATCAGGGACAGCTGAGTATAAGATAGTGAGGGGGTGTAGTTACACTTTTTTCTCTAAAGGTGCCCATACACTACTTTCCTACTGCCCATTTCTACTCTACGGTCGCACGTCTTTTGTCTTCAGAGCACCCTTGAAAATCTGCCCAAATACATACAATTTTCGGCGGGTTAGTGGCGTGCTTGGAAGACAAATGCACACTGTCCGCTCAGCATTGGAATCATCGGAAGTCGCAAGTACGATCTGCCTGTCCAAGATGGGCAGATCGTACGAGATTTTAATTACCTGACAACCATCGCACAACGAAAGTCGTGCGATGGTTGTAAGGTGTATGGCCAGCTTTAGAAACCAGATGTGTTGCTTTTTTTGGCTGTGCTGTCTGGCAGAGGTGTGTTAATCACAAAAGCGGCTGGACAGAATTGCACATTCTTTGGCAGATTTGTCACATGTGTATTTTGAGGTTCCCCTGGACTTTAATTCATAATGAAAAAAAATTCCCATCTCATCTACACATTTTACTCTCCTATGCATATGATTATTGATAGCGTTTGCATATAATTAAGAAAATAGTGCATTTTTTGCACTTGTAGTTCTTGCTTGACTTTTTTGTAATTCCCCTATGAGCGATTTTTTTAATTCTCGCTGTCTCTGTGAATCCAGGCTCCTGTGTTAGATTTGGTAAATATAGTACAAGAGCAATATTATGACAGTGACTCATACATTCCTTTTTATCTAGGTTATTCTAGGAGGGACTGCTGTCCCATAAAAAAAATAGAAGCTAAACGCCAACAAATAAAATGTTTTCTGCAGTACTGAGCATGGGAAAACACAACGTGGTGGCTGTGTAACATTATGTATTGATGAACAGTGATTTATCATACAAACATCATTATTTTTGCATGTATTCTTTTCCTTGGCTGCTCATTCTTTTGTAATGCTCTTTTAGATGCTGTTTTTACATTTGGGGTTTGTGTTTTTTTTTTTTTTTTATTATTATTATTCATTTTGGGTGGTGCGGCATACTGTGAGTAAAACTAGAACTTGTCAGTGCAGCTTGCAGGGTCAGTGATATGATCATGTTTTGCTAGTTTCCTCCCTCTGTGGCCACAAGCGTTCCTGCCTCTGAGAATTAAGTTGCCGGTCTTATTAGTTTTATTCTTTTGCCCACAGTGTACCCCACCACAATTCCACCCAAAAAGAAAATGAAGAGCTATGAATAGAGGTCGTATTTAAATGGTTGTGTAGCCATTTAGTTAAAATATATGGCCAAAAGTATGTGGACACCACTATAATTTGGGTATTTTCTGTGAAGGATACTGTTAGTGCTATAGCATACAAAGACATTTGTGCGCTTCCAAAATTGTGGAAACCGTTTTGGGAAGGCCCTTTTCTGTATCCCTGTGTACAACGCTAGCTCCATAAAGACATGGTTTGATGAGCCTGAGTGGGGAAATTCTAGTGGCCTACAGAGAACCCTAACCTCAACCCTACAGAACACTTTTTTTTGGGATGAATTGGAATGCCAATTGTGAGCCAGGTCTTCTCGCTCAACTTCAATACCCGATCTCACAAATTGTCTTTTGGCTGAATGTGCACAAATTCCTGCAGACACACTGCAGGGGAGGATCCAGATCCTTAATAATGCCCATGATTTTGGAATGGTTTGCCCAACAAGCTCATATATAAGTGTTAGTGTGTATTGACAATGTTCTCGCTGTACCCTTGTACTTGCAGAAGTAGAACAGTACAGCGGAACCTGGAATGCAAAAGCACTGAATTTTTGCACATTCCTTTATTGATATGGAAAATATGGCTGTTCCTATGTAGACATCTAATAAAAACTCTAAAAAGAATCCAGCTTTTTTTTTTTTTTTATGCCTTTAAAAAGAATCTGTAAAAAAAAAAATGCTGCGGGCCCCTACAGGCGCATACCTGCAAAGCTTTGAAAACCCTGCCATTGCAGACAAATCTCCAGCCAATATGTCAGGAAAAATCTCAGCATTTCCTGATGGTTCTAAAGTTTGCCCATTTTGTCCTGCTTTCTGCACATTCATATTATCCAGTAAGGCAGCCTATCATAATGATGGGATGATCGGAATGTGTGGCAGACAGGAGGTAGTGGAAACCGCAACTCCACCTGAAAGCTCTGAAGTTTTCCCTGTTGGGGAGGCTGTGCAAACAGAGGCTGCTTCAGGTGATCACAAACACCTCCTAGGTGCCTAAATTGTATACCTGCATCAGTTTTGGTTTTTTCTTTTTCTTGCATAGTGGCATTTGCTGATTGACAAATCTATTTAAAAAAAAGTCCCCAAATATCATATCTTTTATTTTAAAGTCATCAACGGTATAAATAATAGAATGCACATTAATCATTTTTCTTTATTTAGTTTTAGGAGATCTGGACCAAAAACTTGCCCAAGAACAAAGTTGCAGCCACCCACCGAGGAACAAAATATCTTCAACTTATCAACATGGTAATGTAAACAGCAAGGAAAGCTCATGCCGCAATCCATCAGACACAAGGAAAGAATACAGCACCTTATCCTCTCGTGATGAAAGAAGAACAGTATCTTTGGAAGAAGCACATTCCACCCATGCCACATACCAGCCAAGAAGGTTTAATGAAATCTACTCTGTCACGCATCACTCAGAATCAAAAACAGAGGCTTGCAGCAAGGATATTTATGCTAGGAGCCTGTGTTCTGACTTGGGCAGCAAGTCACCAAGTATTGCACCCATCTCTGGGAAATTTTCATCAAGCAGCTTGCATCTTCCATCGGAGAGCTTAGAACATGAAAGGAGCAGACAGCTCAAGCCAAGGAGGATACCTATTACCTCAATCAGATGGAATAAATCAGCTTCTAGCCAACCTGAGGTCTCAGGTAGACCTTTCCGAACACAGTCTGCTCTCGATCTTACATATGCTGGTAACACTTCTCAGCAAAATCGAATATTTGATCTTTACAAGTACGGCAATTCCAATAAAGTTTCTCCATCGGGCTCGAATGACTTCCATAAAGTGAACTATCAAAATAACTTGACATGTACAACATATCAAAACAGTTCAAATAAATGCTCCACTGGATATTACAAAACGGACTCTTGTGGCCTAAAATCCATAACCAAATTTCCAACACAAACTAACTGCCACTGGGAGGAAGAGAACAAGGAAAATTCGCTTAAGCTTAACAAAGTCACTAGCCAACCACCTTCTTATGCTGGCACTAAATCGGAGAAGAATACAGAACACATGGAAGTCTTAAATGAATATCCTTCACAGGATAATATTTGCAATATAATGGATCAGACAGAGGATTGTATTTTCACAGGCAATAAATCTGATCCACACGATCTTAATTTACAAACTAAGAACATTTCTGCAAAATCAGATATTTCAGGAGTGGATATGGTACCTTGTAGAGAGAATTTGGATGTGGGTCATCAGAACATTCCAGTAGCCTGTACAATGACATATGACATTGGAAATAAAACAGAAGAAACTGTCAAGACATCTCTCAGTGGCCTATCAGAATTGGAGCCCATGGAAGTATATGATCCAAAGGCCTCACTTCCATATACAGATACATTGTTAGCCATTTCTAAAAACGTGCGAAAAGTTGGCAACGGAGATCAAAAAGATACTTCTCTTCCAGTTCTACAAAAACATTCATCTTATACCAGACCATTGTTCACTAAGCAAGATAGAGCAACGTTTGCATTTCAAAGTTCTGAACATTCAGTTAAACCTAATATTTTAAATACAAATTATTCTCCTTCTACAAATGTGTTTATATCTTCAAAACCCATTGGCTGGAGTAATACAGTTTCAGGAAACACCTCGACTGATGATACTGAAAGACCTGTAATGCTAAACTCAAGACAAGGTTCAAAGAACAATCACTTAGAAGGGTATAGATCTGATATGCTGAAGCATCAGAAAAAAAACGCATCCTCCCTTCCAGATTTAATTGATGAGGAAAATTATTGTTATACAGATTTCAGTTTCCCAACAAATAAAAATGAGGAAAAGCGCATAGATAGTTCCTTAACCACTGTGCCCACAACAGTGTCTGCTAAAACACATAAAATGTCTCCTGGAAACAGCTTCAGTTCTCACATCACAAGCCAGGGAGAAGATTCAAGTTCAAGAACTGTGGACTCTTTAAAAAAAATTAGAACATGTTCTTTTGATGCAGTGTTTGACAGAACATCTAAGGAAAAAGAGCAGAATACCCCATTGTCGGAAAAGGTATCATCCTCAGCAGACAATGTAACAGAGCCTGATGGTACAAACAAAGTCTTAGATTTGCCAGAGACTGCTTCTTCCTATTTCGATGTACATAAGCAGCGGTACAGATCTATCCATTTTAATAATGATCCAAATTATGCCCAGCATGGGGCTGATACAAATAATAATAATAGACTGTTTCCCAAAACATCACAAACTCATAAGGTATTTAGTGAAGCGAATAGATTAAGCAGTGTGTTTACTGACCCCAAAAGGGGCAGTTATAACAGAGAACCAAATAAAATACCAGAATATGAAATGTTTCCAAAGTCCCAAATATTTGTCAAAGATGAAAAAGGTATTTTAGAAACAGAAACAAATCAACAGAACGTTGGCAGTGGAACACGGAATGTAGAGACTGAAAAGGGAATTACCCAGAACTTTTTTAACCATTTGAATCAACAAGGGACTGGCAATATAACTGAAATCAATGAGCAACCCAAACTTCAAAGTATAACTGTTCTTCCCACCAGTCAGATTGTAGAGGAGCATTTACAAAGAAAGTCCTGCACCAAGGATAACGCAGAGAAAAAGACTTTGAACTTACTGAAAGAGCACTTGCTTCTGACACCAAAACCATACAAAAAGAGTGTTAATACCAAAGAGGACACCAACCCCCCTTTTTCGGGAGGTGGACTGACGGCAAATATTTATACTTGTGAAAGTCTGTCCGATAACATTACGTCTTTTGGAACTAACTCCATTTCTGAAATTCAACAGAAATCTAAAACCTACAGTTGTCAAGGAGTAACAGAAAGAACTGAGATTTATGAAACCTGTTACACAGATTCATCTAAGCCGGATCTGGATACGGTTGAATATCATAAGGTTGTTTCAATCTATTACACCTTACCTCGTAATTATTATAAAAGACAGTCAAATGTATCCCAGAACAACTTAAAAAATATTGATCAGACTCTTCAAAATAGTCGAGCTCCCAGCGCTCTTTTGGAGACTATGATAAACAAGTGCTCAGAAGCTGAAGAAAACCATGGCCTCAGTTACCAAAATATGGGAAAACCATCACCATCAAATTGTGCTCCTAAAACGGAATTGACCAAAGAGCTGGATTCTGGAGAAATGCCTTTAGGCCAACAGCACCTTTTAAATTTTAACTTAATTCCTTTACAAACTGATCTATTAAATAAGAATAACAGACCCCTTCCCGGTGCAGAAACAACATCAACGGACTTTGATTTGGTGGAGCAGCTTAGTTCCTGTCACATATCTGAGAATGGTTTTGGTCAAAGGCATAATGACTTGCAGATGCAAAGAAGTTCACAAAATATCAATGAATATAGTCCTACAAGGACTTCACCCCGGTATACACAAAATACTTACTACACATTACCAAATAGGAAATCTAATCTCCAGGATTTGGATAAAAGTATTCTTGATAAAGATGTTGCTACGGCACGTAACAGGTATAATCTATATTCTAAAAGAGGAAATTCATTTCCTACAACTCCAGAATCCCAAGATGTTTTCTTTTCACCAACATTTAGTTATGATTATGTTAATTTTACAGGGAGTGGCAATTCTGCAAATTTTCAGGAAAGGCAACTGAATGATACACATAATTTTTTGAAAAAAGATGGTTTGTGCAATAAGGATCCCCCTGACGATGGGGTAATTTACAGAGAAGATATTCCTTCTATCTATAAATCAAAAAGTGTAAAAGATTTAAATAGAAGTGAATCACACCATACTAGAGACAAATCACCAGGCATGGAAACCAAACTCAGTCCACAGTCTCATAGCCATCCCTATGCTGCTAAAGTAAATGAACCTTTAAATCGGACTAGACCGTCTTATAACTCCAAGTTTGTCCAAAAAAAAATGAAGCCTATAAACGCCAAGAAGTTTACTTTTTCCTTTGACAACACTGGCCAAAAAGAATACATCAACTCTCAATCAAGTGAATCCTTTGGTGAATCTCTTAGATCGTCTGACATTGATTCGCCATCCATGTTCTATTCACCAAAGGACAGCTTTCCTTCACATGCTAACAAACATTATTATGGACAGAGAAGCCCAGCTGAGTGCGGAAGTTCTCAGCCTTCTAATATGTACCGCTCTAAAAGTTTGAAAAGCATCAATCATGATTACCAAGAGGAAGAGGTTGAGATCAGGAGAAAAAGTGATGGAAGTTTTTCTTCAAAAAGTTATGGTGGGAATATGAAAGGCAGAAGTCGTTCAGGCATCAACAGTGGTGATGGCACACATAACAGGAGCTATTCAACTGAGATGATTGATGAGAATGATAATTGGCCATCTAGCAGTGTGGGCAGGGACCAAACCCCTGTATATACTGCTAAGGCTGTTGACTATGGGATTTTTGGAAAGGAGCAACAGGAAGCACTTTTAAACAATGTAAAGAGATCCCTTACTGAGGGCAGGTTATGGAGGCCAAGTTTTCTGAAAAACCCAAACTCCCTGAGGAATGAGGAACATTATACTTCTCATCAAACGGGCTGTAAACCTGATGATAGTCTGAAAGGGACTCTCAACATATATGAGGGCGAGGTGCCTCCCAATTCAGAATCTGATAATGATACGACAACTGATGATGAATATTACTTGAATGAAAATGACAAAGAATCTGAATTGTGAAGTCCTTCAAAAATAGAACCAAAACAGTATTGGCACTTTTTTTCAGACTATATACTGACTTTAAGTAAATATATATGCAATATAATTATCTTGACAAACAGAGGGGGTAACATATTTTGACAATTTTTGTTTTTATTTAAGTGCAATATTGAAGGCAGCTTCTCATGAATGCTATCCATATATGTATAATGTAAGAAATATATAGTAGAAAGAGGATGCCAAGCCAATGTTTTAACTCTCGGCGAGATGGGTGAAAGATTTGAACGTATAACCCACATTGCCGAATTAATCAGAATGTAAAGAGCCAGGTTGTGCACTTTTACCAGCAGCTCCCTTTGCCTATGCAGGCGAATGGGAAAACCTCCCATAAACTCACAAAGGCACATGACTGCAGTAGAGCCTCACGCAGGATGTTGAAACTGACGGATCACAGCAAAGAGACAAATTTAAGTACATAATATATCTTTCACATAATATTCATCTAAACGCCCTCTATGTAGAATCCTTGGGTGGAATTATCCTTCAAAGTGTACTCTTCACTAACAGTGGGGAGAGCCATTATGTTGAATAAGCCAATCTCAAATTGGTGCTATAATAACCAGTACTTCCACTACAGCAATAGAACACCATGAGTTTCCTTGCCGGCACGGACCTCGTTGCCCAATATTCTACTGTGCTTGGCTTCTTTGGCCATCTTGATTGATCACTGTGGCATGGTGCATGTACATGGGAGCCATTTCAACACCAAGGCATGCTAAGATTGTACTCTGAGCTGTGCATGTGCAGCTTAGTGTTCGATCTAAAGACACTTAGACTTTTGTCTTGCGAGGGTTGTAAAGTAATTTAAAGAACGTACGATCTGCCCATCTTGGACAGGCAGATCGTACTTGCGATCATCGCAAGCCCAACCCGCTGAGGGGCGGGCTTCCGATGGCCGCAATGCTGAACGGGCAGTGTGCGCGTGCGCACACCGGCCCGTTCGTCAGTTACCTATCGATCATGCTAAACACCAGCGGAAAATTGTACGATTCTCGGCTGGTTTTCCAACATGCTCGTAATACAAAAGTCGTGCGACTGTCCAGTAGAAACAGTCGCACGCCTTCCATACACTGTACGATTATCGTACGATCGCGGGATTTCCCGCGATTCTCATACGAGAATCGTGCAGTGTACGGGCACCTTTAGCCAGCAGGTAGATAAGAAGCGTTTATTGCAAGGTAGACATAAGGGTTGGTTTACTAAAGGCACAGGCTGTTCTGTTTGCAAGGGAATTTCCCCTTAGCTTTGTGAACATGGTAAAGCTCTGCTGATTTCCATCACCCAATCATGTGCAAGCAAAAATAAAGGGTTTGTTATTTTATTTTCCTTTGCATGTGATTGGGTATTCTTTGCAAAGTGAATTTTCACCACATTCACTAAGCTTAGTGAACATTCCTTTACTATTTTTGCCTTTTTATAAGCCATCAATTAACGCAGACTGGATTTCTTTTCCATTTTATAAGTTTATAAACTCATGGTTTAGATGTTTGTTTAAAACGAATACATCTATGAAACTGTGTTTGCAAAGCATCTAGGGCACCCATGTGTAAAGTAAGCTTTACCATGCCCATACTGCTGCTTAAACAAAAGAACACTTACATTTATAGAACACAACAATGTGGTTTACTAATGCACATTGCTTCAACTTCACTTGCTTCAGGACTTTAAATAAAGCATAGCCCTATTCAAATGAATGAGTAAAACAAAAAAATAAGCTGGCATGAGGGCCTGGTCATGTGACCTGTTAGCCTCTCCTCCATTCATGGGATTCTCTCTGCAGTGTTAAGCAGAGGGGATTCAATGAAAAACTGCAGGGAAGAGTTTATTCTATTGCCTCTATTTTATAATGGGATGTAAAATATGGGTAACTGTGAGGCATAACATTACGGGGTCCGGGAAAAGTGGCTAGCAGTATCCACCTATAGATAAGTCACTAGGTGTAAGTTAGTCTCGAAGCTTAGAGCCACCTTGTTTATTATTGAGCAAGCCAAATTGGCCTACCTGCTAGCTGGAATGGTTAATTTTAAATATTTGTATATTCATCATTTTATTCATCATTTACCTGGATAAAAAAATTTATTTAGTCTGAAACATAAGAAAATATTTACCAAAAAAACGATACCCTAGATTCCGTAATCTGACGTAACAAGTAAACCAAACTTGTTTAATAAGATTCATAAATCGGTTGAGTTACTAAATTTCCTCATTTAAATGGCAGCCTTGCCATCCCTTATACCCGAATGCACTGGATTTACAATGGGGTTTAGGTGGGTGTGACTATGAGGGAACTAGTAGACGGTAAGTACCAGCACCAAGGGAGAAGTTTGTAAGCATGTCTTGTACAGTGTAGAACTGGAGTTACTAGTCTGCACCCTCCAACAGTTGGGAAACCAATCTGGCAAGCATACTGGCTGCTTTTGGTACCATACGAAGACAGATGCCATGGCTGCCCATGTCTTGGGTCACAGCATATAATACACTGTAAATTAAAGCTGAACTTTGGGCAAACTGCTTTATCCATAGTTAGAAACTCGTGGCACTGTTTCTGTAGCCAGTCTTGTGATTTGGGTAATGCTGCCAGACAGCACAGCCTCATCCTGGACCTTCCTGCAGACTATACTGCAATTAAAGAGACCCTGTGAGGATAGCAATATGGAGTGCGGTGTTGGTCTGAAAATATTTGGCTGCCATACTGATTCATTGGTTTCAGTACTTTCCAGGCCACTAAACTGGAGGAGGTAAGCAGATCAAGAATTCTGACTGAACTGGTTGTGTGTTAAAATCAGCCAGAGACAGCCAGGCAACTAGTGTTTTTGAAAGGAGGTCAGTAGCAGCAGCAGCCTTCATATGTCTCTTGGTAGAAGAGGAGCAGGACACCTGTGAGACTATACTCTCCCCTCCTGATAGCATCATGCAAAGCAATAGAGTCCTGACTGGCTGATTACTGCAAGGATTAATAAACAGTTTGCCGGAGTTCTGCTTTAATATCTGCTGGAAGTTTAGCTGTAACGAGAAATTGCATTAGACATGAGGATGCTGAAGGACATTCCACCGTCAGAGCGGAGACTGAGAGAGGTGAACGGTCACCGCCACAAAACTGAGCTTTAGGTGACTATAGCTTCTTTATATTCACCCGAATAGTGAATATAGACCAAAATGATCATTTAACGCTTACAGTGCGGGGGTAGCCCCACTGCAAGGGTTAATTTTTTTAATTGCCTGGAGTTCTTCTTTAGTAAGTAACCTGTACAGGGCAGTACCCAAGTCAACCAATCAGATTTGAGTCAGTAAAACATTTCTAATTGCTTTCAGCATATCTCTCTTTTTCTCAACAAATGTGACTGTAAGGGCCCATTCACACCAGGCCCCACACACATTGTGCTCTGCGTAACACGTGCCCTGGTGTGATTTGGGTAGGGTGGTGCGATGGCATTGTTACAACGCGTCAAGCAGTTTACTTTTTAACGTGTGACAAAAAAACACTTTCGACTCTATACCCAATGGCGCGTTGCGGTGTGTTGTAATGCATTGGTATACATTGCGTTGTGTAAAAGTGCTGCACACCGATAGACATGTATGGTGTGAGCAATTGTCCTCTCGGTGTGCTTGTGTTGATCAGTGCTCCTTAATGTAGGCTCAGCGATCCTAGTGTGTCATTTCTCTTTTAGACCAAAATGTATTGTTTTATGTAAATTAATTATTGTGTATAAAACCAGAAAGAGAGAGATAGTGCAGGTGTTCTCAACATTGTGTCACATTGGGTTCAGCAGGTAAGTATCCTCCCATGTCTGCGGCTGCTTCCCCCCCATTATCCATCATGTATATAGCTGTATATAAACTGACTGCACTTTCATAAATATTTATTTTTCTCAGAACTGAGTTATGGAGATAACGGGGTGTAATGCTTCATATAAA